ACAGCTCACTTGTACACCACAAAAAAAAACAGACAAGTTGTCATTGCTGCTTAAAAGCAATAGTTTACAGACCAGGAAAGTCTCATTCCACCCTTGGATTACACACTAAGATAATTGTAAAGCTACACACTTGAACCTAATCACACTCACTAATCTCAGAAATTTGGGGGACTCATGTAATTTAATTTTAATACTAGATGGCGCCAGAATACTCCAAACTGCAGCTGGGGCGTGTGTTGAGAGTTTGGAATGGGTTTTCACAATACTGGCTCTGACAGGAACTGACGTCACACCAAAACAACTGATGTCATAGAACAGAACTTCAGAGTCCAATGGACGAGGCCAGAAAACAAATTCAAATGGTGTAGTACCCACCAAAAAGGTTTTGATGGCCGAGGGCGCCACCACCACACAGACGTTTTTTTGGCCTCAAAAGTGTTATTTTATCTATTTGAACTAAAATGTCCAAAAAAATTACCAGGATATGTAGACAGCACTACAATAAAAACATACTTATGCAGTTTGTGAGTTAAAAAAAGTTGATTTGGTGTTAGTCGTTTTCTTTAAAGTGCTCTGTTCACACTGATAACAGCTTGTGGATAAAACTGTTAGCGTAACGAGATGTCCTGCATACTCAGAGAGCGATATCTTCTGCCAGAGGGAAGAAGCTGGGAACATGCTTTCCCAGGGTGGGTCCAGGAAGAGTCATTGACAATCCTAAGAGCTCTTGTTTAAAAGTCTGGATTTATAAAGAACCTCCAGAAACAGGGAAGCTCACAGCCCACGGTCCTCTTTGCAGAGCGGAGCACCTTGGTTTAAAGCTCTCTTTTCTTTATCTGTGCTGTTTCCAAACCACACAGGAACAGAACCAACAAGTTAAAAATCTCAATGGTTGCAGCAGATAAAGTTCAGCAGAAATCTTTAGACGTTTAGTGGTAAAATTCTCTAAGTTACGCAGAAAGAAACTAGAGACGCTGACAGCTTTCTTAACGACCCTGGTCAGTGTGTGTCTTTAACCCTTTAGGTCGTTAGGACAGAGTTAAACCCCGAAACCTTTGCACTCTCTACGATCTGCACCTGGAGTTGTCGATGACGACAGGAAATGAGACCTATTGCGGACTGAAGTCGTAGGACCAGTTCCACATGTTTTCGATGGGTTCAACGGTGCGAGGGAAGGGTTGTTGTTTTACTTCCACTGAACCACATTTTGTATCTGTGCTCTATAAGGAGGATTCTCATTGTCACTGTTGGTGACCGATGCGATGGTGGGTTGTCATCAGCAACTGTGATGATCAAGGTTTGAGTTCGAGGAGGACACCAATCATGAAGTGTACAAAGTGAGGAAAAAGCAAAGGACTCAAAAAATGAAGTATTGAAAATGAAAAAGTCAATAGTAAGACACATGTTTAGATTAAATGGACCAACTGTTATTAACCATCTTACAAAAGTGTACTGTGTTATGATTTAAATAATATATTTATCCTCATAATATAACTTGCCTATATCAATTTTGATCATGCCTCTCCATGCGAGAAAACTATACAATGCACAGACAGACAGCAAATACAGGGAAAACCCCTTTCAGCACCATTGGTGAAGAGACTCCTCTCATCACACTTCCACCCACCTCCAGAACAGGGACTCCACGTCCTCAAAAGCGTGGATGTCAGAGCAGGACAGTCATAAGATAAGTCTTCATCTACAGAAATATAAAATCATTTAAAGAAGATTAAATAACTTACGCTATAGATGCATATTCTTACTCTTGACATATTCTGCATATCTTATTCCTTTACTTTTACTAAAAGCCATCGTCTCAAGTCCTTCTGTCAGTTGTTGTATACTGTCTCACATGTTTGTACGTGATTTGTTCCAGTCCTTGTTCAATGTACTGTACAGTAAATAATCTTGTGTACATTGTATTCTTTGCATGATTTGTAGCTGTTACGTTTGTTTGTTTTTTATGTTCTTCGTTAAACATCAACCTGCAGGGGGTCTGCAGATGGAAATTAGCCTAAAGTGTATAATCTGGCATATTTACATTGGTCAATATGTTCATTCATCAGGCATTGTACCTCTTTTAAAACCAAATATATAAATACAATAAATCAGGGCAATTTCCTTTGGAGTTAAGAAACTGAACATTTTCCATCCGCCTTCTTATCCAAACTGGGAAAAACTTTTCAAAAGGGAGTGGAGTGAGCAAAACATTGGAGCCAGAGGAGGGCCAGGAATCAAAAAACAGTGGATCTAATTAGCGGAGCAACAATACACAAGGGCGTGGGACAAAAAAAAAATATGATCCTCTGCCTCTGGGTCGGACATCTTCATCATTGTGCAACAGGTCATTACATCAAGTCCTTTTAAAACACTGACTTTGGGAACCATTATTGGATTTATGATTTTCTGCTGCAGGTGGCCACAGCGTTTGGACGTGCTCAGAGGCGCTCCATGGTCCACTCAGACCAGAAGAGGGACCAGGTGATGGTGCGTGAACCCCGATACTCAGAGGCCTCTGCACGTCCAAACTGATCGACTTTGGTTTGACCATCCCCGCAAGTGAGATGGGAGATTTTTGACGATCCACCATGTGACGTACAGGTAAGTCAGGCACCAGCAGCTATAACCAGCAGGGGGCGGACTGATAGGGTTGGGGACTAACTCGCTTAAGTATCAGGTTTTGATCAATTAAACTATATTGTATTGTATTGTATTACATCAATATTTGAATTACTTGTTCTCTTCGCGCACAGGCCGCGACCAGAAGTCATTTTAGTCATTTTAGGCTCTTTATGAACGACCGTGACACTCTTCTTACTTGTCCATTGCAGTTCGCCATTCAGACAAATATTAGTACCCTTGCCAAAACCCTTACCTGATTGTCCTCTAAAATATAAACCCTTACCCTCTAAATTATACACATAGCAACTGCATTTCACGGTATATAGAGTATTGATTTTATTGCATGATGTCAAAAAAAGCTCGCTAAGTAACGTGTATGCAAACTGTAATGTCATAGCATCTTTAAAAAGATAGCATGTTCTTACAAGTAAACCAGAAAGGTGTGACCCACCTGGAATATGTGGGGCAAATTTTTCCGGCAATCATGTCATCCTCTTTTTAACTCAGGCGCTTTGTTGAACAACATGTAGTTTGGCCTGTCCATTTCGACTCAACTTTACATACTGTTTAAAACTCTCCTCTGAGCAGTGAGCAAACCATGACTGAAGGCCAGGGCGGGAACATTTCCTTTCCGGGCCGCGAGTATTTTATTCGTAGGTAGGTTCTGCCACAGGGACCGATTTCAGCGATTTCAAGCCAATCAGAAAGCCTAGTCTGAAGTGACGTGTGTCAGCGCGCCGGTGATTAACAGCTGAAAACATAAAATGGACACTTTCAACATTGTTTGTTATTATTATTGTAAATTATATATATCATGGTATATGTAATACAGTAAATACAATTCGCAGGTAAATTAATAAATGGTTTATTTTTAGGTTGTAATGTAATTCACCGTCGTTCTGCCGGCGCGCTGAACACGTCACTTCAGCCTAGCTTTCTGATTGGCTGAAATCGGTCCCTGTGGCAGAACCTACCTACGAATAAAATACTCGCGCCCCGCGGTCATGCACATATTCTTTTTTAACTTGAATTCCCCACAAGAGGGGCCAACCCGCTCTGTCGCCATCTTACACACGCATATGTATATATAATGTGTGTTTATTTATTGTTTGTATTATTATGGCAGAAAAAGACATTCAGTAGACACTCATATAAAGTCAGTATTGCACATGATTGCACATGGTGGTTTACTGCAGCAAACATGACTTCTTTTTGTTGTCAGAAACAAAATGTATATAATAAATAAAAGTTATGTTGTTGTTTGTGTTTTCCAAGTTGTCCACAGGCTGAAAAAGCATTACATCATGGACATTCCATTACACATCTTCTAGAATGTAGTTGGTTGTGTCTCCATGGCGACACAGTCAAACCTGCAGATGCTTCATTTGAGCTGAGCAGTTGAAATCTAAGCAGTCGCACACGTTGTTGAGCAGGCGGATTTACGTCTACAAAAACTTTTTAAATACTCTTATCTTTGACACGTTGAACAGGTAAGTGTTATTAAGACATTGTGGGAGTGATTATAGTTTCAGGTTAAAAACTGATATTATCTGTAAATAAGTTTGTTAGAGAAGGAGCTAAACGTTAGGCCTAACAATCAGTCAAGTTGTGTTTCAAATGGCATTCGCTTGAAACATATGATTTCATAACATGGAAAATTATACATTGTGGTTGGTAACATGCTGCATGTCTTTAGTCTGCTAGACTAAATAAAAAAACATATTATTATTGGAAGATAAAATAGTTTCTGAGCTTTAGTCTTAGCTAAGAACCAAGCTAATGTACACTTGACAATAGCTTGGTTCTCTGCTAAACCACATGAAGTGAGTCAGAACTTTGTTACAGCTGGAGAGGAGCTTAAGGACTTGATTTGACAATATTATCACACAGAGCTGAACATAATGATTGATGAATGAAATAACATGAATAGCCTTTTGAAGTAATTTGAGTTGAATAAACTTGTCCCTATATGCCTCCCAGTTACATAAACTCACTCTGGAAATGTCCCCATCACTGTAAGGTGGCCTACGAACAATTTGGCTTTTTTCAGTTCTTTGAGTTGTTTAACAGTTTTGCCACAGACTTACAAGAACTTATTTAACACCAAAAAGCCAAAGATAAGCTTTCTCAAGAGTCTATTGTGGGATCCAAATGAAATAGTTAAAGCTGGGGTGATATGATGCCAAAGGAAGAGTTATGATTTTAAAGATGTGACTTTAACACAAAAATACATGTTTGTGCAATGTGTTTCAGTTTTCCTGTTTTTAAAATGAAACCTGAAAGGTTGAGCATAAAGACAATATTTTGGTCATGAACTGCCGGTGGAATTACGTTCTGGACAATGTCTTGGACCAAGGAGGATTCGGTCAGGTGGTGAAATGTTTCACCAAAGACACGGGTCAGGCTGTGGCCGGTTCAAGCTGGCCCTTTCACATTGCAGGACACCAACGAAGGAGGTAAGGATCTCTCTCTCTCACTCTCTCTCTCTCCTCTCTTCTCTCTCTCTCTCTCTCTCTCTCTTCCTCTTCTTCTCTCTCTCTCTCATCTCTTCTCTCTCTCTCTCTCTCTCTTCTCTCTCTCTCTCTCTCTCTCTCTCTCTCTCTCTCTCTCTCTCTCTCTCTCTCTCCTCTCTCTCTCTCTCTATATATATATTATATATTATATTATATATATACATAAACGAACACTCACCTCATGCTGCTGAATAATTATTCTGGTGATTGTTTTGTGGGGGATTCTGTGTGTTTTAGGGCTTTGACTTCAAAGTTTTAAAATTTGAATATTAAAATATATTCTATTTATATTTGAACAAATATTAGACAGCCCTTAATATTCGAAGCTGTAATGGGCATTATCTTTTTTAAATGATATATGTATATAAATATATATATAAAATAGTTCCCCAAAGGTTGCACCGTGACGTGGCTAGGCTAGTAACAGCTATGCTTGTAAACAGCTACGCTACGCTTAACCAACCAGAAACTCTCGGAAATACATGAAAACTGAACCAAGAATTCTGAACATCAGCTGTGAGTTACCATTTATATACCAATCCCTATATCCATAATCAGATCCTCTTCAGTATTCGTTTATTCTGGTTTTTCGCGATTATTTTTGGTCACATTTAAAACAGTATTTTTGTCATGAAATTGTTTACAGATAATTCTGAAACCTCTGTGCACGTGTGTTAGAATGTATATGCTAAATGTATTCTCCCATTAACATTTAAAATGTATTGATCGATTGATTGATATTTGTGTTATTGAGCATGGCTAGCTCTGATAGCTTCCCTGAATTTAAATATTTAGATTAATAACAAACAAAACTTCGAATATGATTTTTGTGCAAAAGTCAGAGCCCTAGTGTGTTTTAATTGAGGCTTTGTCCCTGAATAAGTTTCATTGAAACTTGTGACAGTAGTTGGACAACTGTTGCAAATTCTGCCTCGTTCTCATTATTGTCAGTGTGAAAAAAGTTACGTATTGTTCACGTGCGAGTCTGTAGTGTACAAACTAAACAATGTGCCTCCTGTTGTTTTAACTTTGTCTTTCGTTGCATGTGGTTTTTGCGATGTTGAGTTTACCGTCAGGGATTTTACACAATTATTTTTTTTTAGCATTGTTGTTCGGGTCGTTCTTTTTACATACAACTATGGTCCTCCATGGCTCCTTCTTCAAACTTGTGAAGGCACGGTGAAGGCACGGTGCACATGTAAAACGAAAATCAGCTCCCGCATCCTTTTTGTCCCCTTATCCACCACAGTTATTTCAGAGGCGTATTGAATCGGAGACGTACTCTGCTTCATATGAATGACTTGGAGATTTATATTTTGAGAGCCTATGAAGACATTTTTAAAAACATGGTGGAGGGTAATATTCTTAAAAAAGGTCCCATTTCATATTAGATTAACATGTTTTTTTCATATGGAGCAACTGTTTAGAAATTGCACAGGGTGACTTTAAGTTAAATATGATTCCAATAGAAAGTCACAAAATTCTTTTGGCAGGACTGCAAATAGCCACGGGCCACAAGTTTGAGACCCATCCAAGGGGGTCAAAATAAGATTGTCAATAAAACGACAATTGAGCATCAGAGCTGCTGAATTGTGCTACATCAAAAAACTAAACTTTGTCTTAAAGCTCATGAATGTACAGGAGTCTGAACATCCAATCCCTGGTGTTTTTCTGGTAATAGGAGGGTAAGTGGGAGTCCTGCGCTATTGGTTAGTTCCTAGATCCTCCCCCTGTCTCCAAAGGGTGAGGTGTTCTGTGTGTAAAGTAGGGACCCTCCCACTGTCTGGGCCTTTTCTGCCCGTGGCACAATGTGTAATCCTCACACTCTTTCCAAATGGTGTTACGTTCACTCTATCAGGGGGACAACCGTTTCTTTCAAACCGCATAACGTAACGTGAGCAGAAAGTCTGCTAGTCTCCAGAACTTAAAGCACAGCGTTGGCAGCCGGCGAGGACACCTCAGAGTGTCTCAAGAGGACACTCCTGTTCATCCGACCACTAAAAGTGTTCTAGTCAAAGTCACCTCTCACTGGTTTAATAACAATTCATACATGAACCCAACTTTGAATAAATCCCCATTCCGACAACTAACACTTATGCCGTCTAACCTAACTGTGTGCCTGTGTGTTCAGATTGCTCTGCTCGAGGAGCGCATGGAAGAGAGGTATGGACCAGCAAACACATCGTCAGGTTCATTGAGGCGTTTGACACCAGGTTGGGGAGAGCCATGGTGTTTGAACTGTTGGACCATGAGTTTGTGGGACCTCGTGGACAAATATGATCTTCTGCCTCTGTCGGACATCTTCAGCATTGTGCAACAGGTCATTACATCAAGTCCTTTTAAAACACTGACTTTGGGAACCATTATTGATTTATGATTTTCTGCTGCAGGTGGCCACAGCGTTGGACGTGCTCAGAGAGCGCTCCATGGTCCACTCTGACCTGAAGATGAACAATGTGATGGTGGTGAACCATACTCAGAGGCCTCTGCACGTCAAACTGATCAACTTTGGTTTGACCATGCCCACAAGCGAGACTGGGAGATTGACGGTCCACCACGCGATGTACAGGTAAGTCAGGCACCAGCAGCTATAACCAGCAGGGGGCGACTGATAGGGTTGGGACTAACTCGCTTAAGTATCAGGTTTTGATCAATAAACTATATTGTATTGTATTGTATTACATCATATTTTTGAATTACTCTGTTCTCTTCCGCAGGCCGCCAGAAGTCATTTTAGGCTCTGGTTGGGACGAAGGCCTGGACGTGTGGTGCCTGGGACTCATCATGTCTTATCTGTGGCTTGGGATTAATTTATTCCCTGATGTGGAGTATGAGGCTGTAAGTTACTGGACAAACTGGACAAGTTGTGAGTAATGTGTCCTAAAATGTGCTAACACAAATGTGTCTTTTTCTGGATATAGCTGAGAGTGATGCACAAACTCCTTGGTCCTCCTCCTGAGCACATCCTCAATAAAGGGAGTAATACCATCAACTTCTACCGAAGAAGTCGCAGCGGATGGAACTTAAGGGTAAATTTATTCATTCTGTTTAGGTTTTTGCCATAAAAAAATATAAAAAACAATTGAATTATGTAATTGCTATGTAACCAACTCTTCTAGACTCGAGAGGACATGAAGGCTTCTGTGAATTATGAAATTAAAGAGGACGACGGTTCAGAATCCTTCGATTCCCTCACTCAACTGATCACGGTAATACTGTCGCTTTACCTTCCTCCAAAGTGGAGACAACACTGACCTGTCCATGACTTGTTTCTAGGACTTTGTGAAGGAGGACAAAGTGAACACAGAACCAGCCTTAGACCTCCTCAAAAAGCTGTTGGACATGGACATGAACGACAGGATTACTCCCAAACAAATCCTGCAACACCCAGCCATCTGTCATGAACAGTAGGTTTTGACACAAATTAAACTTTTTATTTGTTCTTTTACTTCAGATTTCTTTAAGTTTTCTTTTATATTTTTCACAATGACAACAAAAAATATCTTCCAATATTTTTACAGTGTCGTGCCAGAGCCATTCATTGCTGCTTGCGGCTTTATTTTTGTTTTGCTATGTGAAGTGCTTGGCTTTATGTGTGATAGCCATTTATTTTACAATTACAATAAATTTGAGTAAAGAGGCAAAGTTCAAAGGTGCCTCATACGCTGTCACAAGCCCTCTGTATGTAAACCGCTCAAAGTCCTCCCACTGTTGCTTCACAGCAACAGTATCTGTCAATCACTCTAAACTGCATCACCACACACAAATTCTCACCTAGCAGCAATCAAGCACTGCCTCGAATCAAGCTTCATATCAGGCAGAAGCTCCATCCATGCAGCAGCTTAATTCACAACGCAAACCTCCTCCCCGTCTCCGCAAATAATAACTCATTTCTTAACTCAACAGAAAGGATGACTTAACAAATTCAGCTCACAGCGAGGAAGAGGAGGAGCACATGTAAGAAACATTACCTACTATTAAAGGACAAAGCTCAAGGGCAAAGTCATTATGTAACTGTTTTTGTCTTTGGTTAGGCCTTTGAGTTGTTTGGAGATCAATGACATTCTTCCTAAAGAATACAAGGTCATTAAGATGATGGCCATTGGAAAGTTCGGGCAGTTTGTCAAATGCAAAAACAAGAGCATCAACAAGTTTGTGACAGTCAAGGTGCCGTATTCCAACAACCGGACTCAGCACGAGGTACGCATTCACACGTGTGATAATACCATCACTTCATGCAGTGGATACAATTTAGAATGATATTATATGTGTATACATGTGACTTCCCATTTTGTGATTGGGCTAAAGATTGGTTGTAAGATCTTTTCTCTGAGATAGCCAATACACCCAGTTCCGAGGCTTCTGTATTTGAACAGAATGCAGGAGGCCTCAATCAAACAATTAAAATAAATAAGAAATATACCATTAAAACAATTAAAGTCATTGGTCTAAAGGTGAAAACAATGTTCATAAATGTTCACACAAATAACTTACTCAAACCATACTGTCCAACCATTTAGGTCAGGCTGCTCCAGAAGATCACAAACTCTGGGATGGATCATCAAAATATTGTCACATTCGTAGACTCGATCCAAACCAGTTATGGAAAGGTTCTGGTGATGGAATGTCTTGACATGAATCTGTCTGCCTACATCGACAAGCGCTACCCTCTACCACTGGGACACATCCGGAGCATTGTGAAGCAGGTAAGAAGTTATACTGTAATGCAGGGGTGTCCAGTCTCCAAAACTTATTAAATAGTCCTTCCAAGAATATATTAAGATATATAATATATCTAATATTTGAAGGCTGACATGTCTTTCTTCCATGTATTAATTCAATGTTACAACTATTACAGACGGTCAATGCGTTACAAGTCCTGGAGTGTATAAAGGCTATCCACACTGGGGTCACAGCAGAAAACATCTTCATCTGCAGTCTGTTCGCACAAACTCCCACAATCAAACTGGCTGATTTTGGTTCTGTGGTTCGGACAAAGAAGGCCAAGGCAGGCATGAGGGTGCAGCAGCTCGCATACAGGTAAGAGGCTGTTCTCACGATACCCACAATTGGCTTCTATTTGGTCAGACCCACAGTTCATGACCGTTTTTCTGCCATTTCAAACACATTAGTTTTGGCAAGTTTTATGATGTAACATTCGAAAAACAATAATGCATTATTTTTGTTCTTTAAAGTTTCTGTTAACAAGATGTTTTGTTCCACGCAGAGCTCCTGAAGTCATCCTGGGACTCCCTTTCAATCAGTCCATAGACATCTGGTCCTTAGGCTGTACTTTGGTTCAAATGGTCACCAGAGTTCAAATGTTTTCCAACGAGAGTGAATTCAAAAATGTAAGCCCAACATTGCTCTAAAGTATTTGCACTTTCCTAAACTCGAGAAAGTTACACCTGTTTCATGCTTCTGTCTTTTCAGATGGAGACTATGGTCAAACTGCTTGGACTGCCAAACTCCTGTGATCTGGACGAAGGTCTTAGAACAAGAGAGTTCTTCAAACGTGTTGGAGGTGGATGGGCGCTGAAGGTAACGTATTTTTCTTTCTTCTGTCATGTCTTAAGCAGCTCATGTCAACACAGTAAATACTTTGTATCTTTTGTTCTAGACTCTCGAGGAGTTCGAAGACTTTCCCAATTTTCGTTCGGCTTTGACACATCTATACTTTGAAAGATGTCCTTCAGAGACCGAACTAGTCCCGGTAAGTTTATTGAGTGGACATTTTCTGGAATTGGGAAATATTTTCAAATTTAGAGTTTTGTGTTATACTGTATTCATAGCATGATGCCATTTTTTACAGTTCTACATGAAGTACCCTAAAGAGCTGACTGAATGCTTGGACCTGGCCGAGAGCATGCTCTATCTTGAAGAATCTGACAGAATCACTGCTGCTGAAATTATGGAACATGACTTTATCATGTGAGTTTCGTGCTGCTCTGCTTCCTTTGAAACTACTACATTTCTACAAACGCCTTCTAGATCAGCTCTTCTAATGTTTATATTTCTGTTCTACAGTTGGAAGAATGAAAACACTTATGCCAGTCAAGAAAGTTCCTAAGGCTACTCCCAAGGTTTTGGTGAAACCGGTTCAACCAGAAAGCACCGGAAATTCAAAGGAGGTTGTCGACTCGCAGAGGAAGAAGTAAGGCTTGGTTTTGGCTGGGTTCATACAGGGCCCACAAACTGATGATGAAAAATAAGGTGAAAAATAATAATAAGTAATTGTTTATTTTTTAGGATTCTGATGTCCAAAGAGAAGGCTCGTAAAACCTTTGATGTGATCCAACAGAAGGACAGGTGAGACTTGTTTACAGATCCTGTTTGAGTTCGCTCTCATCTCCCACAAAGCACACATACAACCTGCCAAAAAACTCTCCATATCAACGCCGTTCTCTGTCTGTAAACTGCGTCCGTTTTTCTGGCCACACATTAACCCTTCCCCCTGTGGTACAAACCTTGGTGTCAGGTTTGACCTTCTGCCTTTTTATCCATTCTTAAACTTGTTTGTACTTTTTCTGATGCTCTGATTGTGATTTTAACCTGCCGTAGCACCTTGGGCATTTGAAAGCTGCGTTATAAATGATATGCATTCATTTTATAATTATTGTTTGTCCCATAAAGCTCCCAGACGACTTTCATCATTTCAGTTTGATGTAACTAAAAAGTCGCTCTTCTAATGTTGATGTTGTTTACAGACGCAGTGAGAGCAACAAAGCTGAGCTCCAGGAGGCTCCTGTGATCTCTCCCAGGGTCATTATGGTGAAACCGGCCTCACCAGAGAACATCATCGAATTCCAGGAGCTTGATGATGTTCAGAAGGAGAGGTGAGGTTTGATTTTGGATGATTTTTTACTTGCCTTATAAGCTACAGAAACACATTCTGTTTATTTTTACAGAATCCTTCAATACAGTGAATTATGCAAAAAGTAATTGTTTTTTTGTTTTGTTTCTAGTCACAAGGTTCTGATGTCCAGAGAGAAGGCTCATAGAAGCTTTAACATGACCCAACAGAAGAACAGGTGAGACTGTTTCAGGGACTTTGTGTTCACTCTAACACTCCATAGAGCAAGGGTGTCAAACCGGTTCCAGGAGGGACCAGTGAGGCTGGAGGTTTAGTTCCAACTTGAACAGTCTGGTCAGGTTGGAATTAAAACCTGCAGCCACACCGGCCCTTTAAGGACCAGTTTGACACCCCTGCCATAGAGCCTGATGAGTTAGCTCTAATCTTCCAGAATGAATGAAAAGAAAACACTTATGCCAGTCAAGAAAAGTTGGCTGGCATAAGCCTAAGGCTACTCCCAAGGTTTTGGTGAAACCGGTTCAACCAGAAAGCACCGGAAATTCAAAGGAGGTTGTCGACTCGCAGAGGAAGAAGTAAGGCTTGGTTTTGGCTGGGTTCATACAGGGCCCACAAACTGATGATGAAAAATAAGGTGAAAAATAATAATAAGTAATTGTTTATTTTTTAGGATTCTGATGTCCAAAGAGAAGGCTCGTAAAACCTTTGATGTGATCCAACAGAAGGACAGGTGAGACTTGTTTACAGATCCTGTTTGAGTTCGCTCTCATCTCCCACAAAGCACACATACAACCTGCCAAAAAGCTCTCCATATCAACGCCGTTCTCTGTCTGTAAACTGCGTCCGTTTTTCTGGCCACACATTAACCCTTCCCCCTGTGGTACAAACCTTGGTGTCAGGTTCGACCTTCTGCCTTTTTATCCATTCTTAAACTTGTTTGTACTTTTTCTGATGCTCTGATTGTGATTTTAACCTGCCGTAGCACCTTGGCATTTGAAAGCTGCGTTATAAATGATATGCATTCATTTTATAATTATTGTTTGTCCCATAAAGTTCCCAGACAACTTTCATCATTTCAGTTTGATGTAACTAAAAAGTCGCTCTTCTAATGTGGATGTTGTTTACAGACGCAGTGAGAGCAACAAAGCTGAGCTCCAGGAGGCTCCTGTGATCTCTCCCAGGGTCATTATGGTGAAACCGGCCTCACCAGAGAACATCATCGAATTCCAGGAGCTTGATGATGTTCAGAAGGAGAGGTGAGGTTTGATTTTGGATGATTTTGTACTTGCCTTAAAAGCTACAGAAACACATTCTGTTCATTTTTACAGAATCCTTCAATACAGTGGATTATGCAAAAAGTAATTGTTTTTTTTGTTTTGTTTCTAGTCCAAGGTTCTGATGTCCAGAGAGAAGGCTCATAGAAGCTTTAACATGACCCAACAGAAGAACAGGTGAGACTGTTTCAGGGACTTTGTGTTCACTCTAACACTCCATAGAGCAAGGGTGTCAAACCGGTTCCAGGAGGGACCAGTGAGGCTGGAGGTTTAGTTCCAACTTGAACAGTCTGGTGTGTTCCTGCTCAGGTTGGAATTAAAACCTGCAGCCACACCGGCCCTTTAAGGACCAGTTTGACACCCCTGCCATAGAGCCTGCTTGAGTTAGCTCTAATCTTCCATGGAGCATTTGTTTGTCCCTAAAAAGCTCCCAGAAGGCTTTGTTACATGATGTCTGCTTTAAGAAACTGTGAAGATTGCCCTCTTTTGATGATGTTCACAGACGCAGTGGGAGCAGCAGAGCTGAGGTCCAGGAAGCTCCTGTGTCCTCGCACAGGGTCATTATGGTGAAACCGGCCCGACCAGAAAACACCATACGATTGCAGGAGGGTGACCTGGTAAAGAGGTGAGAAGCACAGGCTTTTTACTTTACTTAAAGCATGACAGCTTACTTCCACAGTAGGCTTTAACAGCGCGTAAGCGTTGACTACGCACATTTGAGCGTACCATTATTTAGCTGTATGGACACTGGCCGTGCGCGTAGGGCCGCGGCTTTTGATGCTCTCCCTGTGTAGTCTATGGAGCAGTGTAGAGGACAGTACTGACCAGAGGACTGATGTAGAACATCAATCAATCAATCAATCAATCAAATTTTATTTATAAAGCGCTTTTCATACAAAAGATGCAACACAAAGTGCTTTACAGTTTGGTTAAAAAAATCCCGCCGGCCCAAGACCCCTCCCCCAGACCACCCAACAGACCCACCCTAAACCACAGACAAACACACACACACACACATGCTCCCATGAACACCCATACACACACAACACACAAGTAAAACAATAAAACCATGATGAGAGACTGGGCAGGGTTCAGATGCAACCAGCTGAAAAAGCACCATCCAAGGAGCCGTCTGCACCAGGAGGAGAGAGCCGCCTGTAGCCACAGGGGACGACACAGAACCCAGAGGAGACACGAAACCGAGGCCCCAGGCCCCCACCAGGCCCAAGAGTCCGACCCCACAGACACACCGACCACTGCTCCCAGTGCAGAGGGCTCATCCAGAGGAAACCCTGGGTAGACTAAAAACAATACAATAACAATACAATAAGTAAAACACTAAAATGTGAGACTAAAAGGAACATCACAAATCACATGCATGTGTTTGTCTTCATGGTCTCTGTGCGCTGGTTTGGCCAGACGTGAGACTTTATGAATACAAATAGAAACAATGTCCAGAATCACTTTAAAACCTGCTGTTCCTGCGTGCGTGTCTGTTTGGATGTGATCTAGAGCCAAGGATCGCTAGAAAAATCATGTTTCCATGTGTTTTGACTGGGAGACGCGTTCCGTCATACGCTCGTAAAACACCAGTAGTGAAGACCATTGGTTAACATAGAAAAATGTTACGCGCGTACAACGTCTCCTGTGTAAATTAGCAGTGAGAAAAACAATCTGTTCAAGGACAGACACAGGCTCCAGACGCCTCAAACTTTAGTAAACACAACTGGCCTTTTATGTTTGACTCCAACAATAGCCCTCTCCAATACGTAGTACAATTATGCTGCTGTATTCCTAACTGTATTTGCTTTGCAAATCAAATGGCAATTGCAAGTAGTAAATATTTAAAATTATCCTTTGAACCTCTATATATTGCTTTCATGCCAAATGTGAATAAAGACAACATGGTCATCACTTAATCATGAAATAAGAAAAAACTTTATTGATCTCACAATGAAGAAATCTACAATGAATCACAACTGCATCACAAATCAAACCAAATGAAATATTCTGAGTAGAATCTTGGTTTACTAATGCGTGGGCACTCCTGATCTAAGACTGGTCTAAAGATGTAGCAGAGACCAACAATACAAGCATGTGAAAACAAATGATAGAAGAAACTATTTTGAGAACCAGGAACTAGTAGATACATGGACGTCATGACACTTCATGACAAAGTTGGTTAACTCAGCTTTAACCTTCCAACCAAGTGGACAATAAGAGACTAATCCCAGATGTTTTCTTTAGTGTGACGAGTGTGGAGCTCCACTCCGCAGAGAGGACCACACAGAGAGACCCTATCCAGGACCAGCAGCAGAGTGACAGGTCAGGAAGGACTTCAGTCTGTTTAAATGCTTTGTAGCTGTAAAGAAAGTTTGATCCTTGTGTGGAGTCTACAGTAACATGTTGTTTTCCTGCAGTCGACTTAATATGGAGACAAAGGCTAAAGACAGAGAGCCCGCTCCGATACAGACTCCCACGTCTACTCGCTGTGACGCTGTAGACGAGAGGCTCAAAGACAGGTTAGATGGTTTTGTCCATTACTGGTACAAAAAGCACAGTATTCCATCTACAAAGTTTAACTGATGTAAATGTTGTCTCCTCAGGCCTAAAAGGAAATTTTGGATAAAGAGAACAGCCAAAGTTCAGCCTCTGAACGACTCCACACTGCCCCCTACTGAAGGTAAGAGTCTGCTCACCCTCATTAACAGCATGGAGGAAACGGTTAATCATGATTGTGTCTCTTTAGATGATTTTGTCCCAAAGAAGAAGAGGAAAAACATCTTCAGGAGGGCGTTTTCATTGCTCAAACGCTGCAGCTGTTTTAATTAAGCTAAGTATTCCTTTTAGCTTAAGGTAAAATGTCTTCTCCCACTATGATCTCTCCATCCATTTTTAAATAATGGATGGATAGATGATCCATCCATTTTCTAAATCCAAAACCCAATCGAGGAATTTGTGAATTATCTAAAACTTCAGTTCACAAATGTTCTTGATGGAATCTGACAGAGCAGGAGTTGTTACTTGAAGCAAAAAGGGAAGACAAGTCAGTCTGTAGAAGTGCTAAACTTTTAGAGACGTCTAGAGTCTGATTTTATTCCCATCTCCTTTGCACAATAACAGCTCAGGCTTAGTTCGATTACATGGAGAGTGTGTGAACAGTTTGTTTTCAGATTTTGCCACAGTTTCTGGATTGGTTTTTGGTTTGGACCTGGTGTGTGACCTCTCCCAGGGTCATTATGGTGAAACCGGCCCCACCAGAGAACGTCATGGATGTCCAGAACAAGAGGTGAGGTTTGATTTTGGCTAGCACACCTATTTTATACTTGCCTTAAAAGCTACAGAAACACATTCTGTTCTACAATGAATCACAACTGCATCATGAATACAAACCAAATGTAACATTCTGAATCACAACACTCCCATTTAGATTAAAGGTAGATCGAAGTAGATCTTGGTTTACTAATGCGTGGGCACTCCTGATCTAAGACTGGTCTAAAGATGTAGCAGAGACCAACAATACAAGCATGTGAAAACAAATGATGGAAGAAACTATTTTGAGAACCAGGAACTAGTAGATACATGGACTTCATGACACTTCATGACAAAGTTGGTTAACTCAGCTTTAACCTTCTCTGAAAACAAGTGGACAATAAGAGACTAATCCCAGATGTTTTCTTTAGTGTGACGAGTGTGGAGCTCCACTCCGCAGAGAGGACCACACAGAGAGACCCTATCCAGGACCAGCAGCAGAGTGACAGGTCAGGAAGGACTTCAGTCTGTTTAAATGCTTTGATCGGTCTTTGTAGCTGTAAAGAAAGTTTGATCCTTGTGTGGAGTCTACAGTAACATGTTGTTTTCCTGCAGTCGACTTAATATGGAGACAAAGGCTAAAGACAGAGAGCCCGCTCTGATACAGACTCCCACGTCTACTCGCTGTGATGCTGTAGACGAGAGGCTCGAAGACAGGTCAGATGGTTTTGTCCATTACTGGTACAAAAAGCACAGTATTCCATCTACAAAGTTTAACCGATGTAAATGTTGTCTCCTCAGGCCTAAAAGGAAACTTTGGGAAAAGAGAACAGCCAAAGTGCAGCCTCTGAACGACTCCACACTGCCCCCTACTGAAGGTAAGAGTCTGCTCACCCTCATTAACAGCATGGAGGAAACGGTTAATCATGATTGTGTCTCTTTAGATGATTTTGTCCCAAAGAAGAAGAGGAAACACATCCTCAATCCCTGTAACTGGTGACAGTGACGTAAGGCTGTCGTACGTGAGCGTCCCTCAGTTGCACGGATCACGGAGCGGAGAGAAGAGCGGCCATGATGAAAGGTAATAAATTTAAAAAACGTTTTAATCAGGACATAAAAGTCCATTGTAATAAAATTTGAAGTGGGAAATATCCGCCTCTATCGTCATATTAGAGGTCTGTTTGGTGATAAAAAAGATAGTTTCTCTCAAAAAACAAACACAAGTGTAAATAAAACATCACTTTTCATGAAAAAGATGCTTCACACAAAGAACTAAATCATAACAAACATGTTTTAATTGTTTCCAGATTCTGAAATGAAGCTGAAACGCAACTTCAACTTGAAAGACCCGCCACGGCTCTCACCGCCAGGTCCAGCCAATCACACAGCCCGGCCAGCCTCTCGAGCCTCAGCCAATCACACAGCCCGGCCAGCCCCTTGACAACCCACTGACAGCAAAGCGGCCACTCCCCGATAAAAGGCCCTTCCTGAAGCTTTTAACACCCACCACCTCCCCAGCGCCTCCTCTGCTCCTGGTTCCGGCTCCTGGTTCCTGCTCTGGCTCCTGCTCTGGCTCCTGCTCTGGCTCCGGCTCTGACTCCTGCTCTGGCTCCTGCATTTGCTCCTGGTCCTGCTCCGCCTACGCCCCATTCACACCATGCTTCTAGCCACCACCAGTGCTTGACCCCGGGGGGTCTGAGATCATCTACAGCAGCTGACCATCTCTCCTCTCCTGCAGCACTTTGTAAACACTGTTTTTTAAAAGTGCTAAATATGCATTCATAATATTATTACTGCTGCTGTTCCTGCTGCTGTTCCTGCTGCTGTTCCTGCTGCTGTTCCTGCTGCTGTTCCTGTTCATGTGAGGGGCAGAGCCACTGGTCTCTAACTCTCCATGACTTATGGGCGACACGGTGGTGCAGCGGTTAGAGCTTGTGCCTCACAGCAAGAAGGTCCTGGGATCTATTCCATCTCCAGGCCTTTCTGTGTGGAGTTTGCATGTTCTCCCCGTGTCTGCGTAGGTTTCCTCCGGGTGCTCCGGTTTCCCCTACAACAAAAAAATATGTCAAATAGGTCTATATAAATAAAGATGACTTACTAACTACTACTTCTAAGTTTGTTGTGGTTGATTTAATAATCCACGGTGAAGCTGGAAGTACATTGGAACAATCTTGTATTTATATGATATCATTTGGAACAATAAATCAAAATTAAAGCCGCAAGCGGCATCGAACGGCCCTCGCCACACCGCGAGACTCCCCGTAGTGCGGGACTCCCCAAACCGCGCTAGCCGCCGTATGCGTGAGTTTTGGGTTACAAATCAGACTTCATACGTTTTCCTGTTTACACATACAATCTGTGAGTGTCTCCATATATATACTGTCTCCATTGGATGACCATGTGACGTACCATCTTCCTAAAGCCCTGATGGGAGCGACACTGTGCATTTTGAATGTCTATGATCAATGATTGTGTGTCTCTATTGAAAAACTAAACCTTATTCTCCCCATGTAACACTGGACTCAGTCTACAGGGGGCGCTTATGCAGCAATTTCATGTTTTACACTTTCAGTTTACCCAAACTCGAGTTGAACTATCAAATCAAATTTTGAGCAAATCAGACTTTGCATGTGCAAACATTGGTCATTTACTTTCAATAATAGCGCCCCCTATGAATATATATTTTTTTGTCTTATACCAAAGACATCAAAATAATTCATTTGTTGCCAGAAAAAAAAAAAAAAAAAGAATATGGTGAGTTTTCATGCATGTTCAGTGGGTCAAAAATGAGATCAAACAACAGAAAAACAAAATGTGCTGTGTTCCCTATGTAAAAGTTTTACTCAGCCTGTAGGGGGCGCTAATGGGACAATGACATTGTTCCCACTTTCAGGGGACCAAGTCAAGTTTAGTGAAAATCAGGCTTAGTAAATCCCATTCTCACCCAAGTAAAACTTGATTCAGTCTGTAGAGGGCGCTAATTCTGCAATTGAATGTTTTACACTTTCAGTTTACCCAAACCCAAAAGTTGAGCAACCGATTCAAATTTGGTGCAATTCGGACTTGGTTTGTGCAAAAGGGAGCTACGTTTCTATCGTCAAAATGGGAAAAAAAGGTCACATTTTGCCGCTCCGCTGCTCAAACAACGTTTCACTGATCAAAATTCCCTGAAGTCATTTAGATGTTACATGTGTTGAGATGATGTGGAGCGATTTTCGGCCAAATCTGTGAAACGGCCGAGGCTGGTTTGAGGTTTGTGCGAGGTGTACATTTTCCATAGACAATGGATGGGGAGAGTTTATCAGCGCCACGGCAACAGGGTAAAAAATAAGCCTTGGGCCCTGTTGACTTTTTGAATCAAGAGGGCAAAACAGATGTGTGCAAAATTTCAAACATTTTGAACAAACTAAATTTGAAAATGCCCATATAAAACTTTGAAATAGTCTGTAGGGGGCGCTAATGTGTCAATTTGAATCATTTCACTTTCAAATGACCTAGACCCTAGAGTTGAACAATGTATTAAAGTTTTGTGTAAATCGGACTTTGTATGTGCAAACGGGAGCAAATTTAATACTGTCAAAAACGGCCAAAAAAAGCACCAAAATATCACATTTTTTGCCAGGTCTAATTGTTGGGCAAAATTTACTTTTCATGCATGTTCAGGGGGTCAAATTAAGGCTCAAAGTGCAGAAGAAAAAAGAAACCAAACCGAGGAATTTTTTTTCGACGTTTTGAGCAAAAACAATATAGGTTTCAATGGCACGTGATACATCATTTTAAAGCGTTTGAGTTTACGCACACACCCGTCACGTTGTGGTGAGTGACGCGTCCGTCACGGACCGCCACCACTTGCATTCACCATTGTGAAAGCAATACCCCGTTCGGGGCTCAGGCCTAATAAAGTCCAAGGAGTGGGTATTCTGTAGATGTCTCAGACGCACCATTTATTGTATGCACTTAAGAATTTTATAATTTGTTTGTCCACACGATGGCATAAGAGCATTAGCGTACTTCATATCAGGGCTTCATATTGCATCACTACTTTACATTTGGTCTTGTTTTCTTCTTTGTCAAGCGTAAAAATGGCCCACAGATCTCTTCTTTTTCCTCCAGCTGTGGACATGTTCTTTATCTTTTCATCACCGATGGATACTTTACACTAAAGAACTCATGAACTTGTTATACTTCAGGATACTTCAAAAACTAATACTAAACTTCATCAGTCGATTGGGTGGTTCTCAGATGTTGCCTTGAAAACAGTCTCTCACTCTTTGTGTTGATTTCTTCAGGATGCATTTCTTGTGTCGAGCCGTGAATTCTTCGTTGTCTCCACTTTCAATCACACTTTTCAGTTTTAGTGTCCAAATTCAGAAATCCAATTCAGTCCAAATTATACCCGTGCAATTGAGGAAAATAATGTATCATGTAACTGATTATTGTTAATAAATATCCTTATTTATATGTATTTGGTATTTGCCTCTTATATTAAACAACAATTACATTTTTTGTTATAAAACAAATAATAAAACATTCTAACCAGATGAACTTTCACTATTTTCCTTTTGTATTCAAGTTCAAGTCACACCTCAATAATGTTTGGTAAAATCCCATTTGCTTTCTTCCCGCTGGTGTTCAGAGCCCAGAGTAACAATGGGGAGGCAGTATTTCTCTTACAGTATGCAGCTAAACTCTGTATTGGAAGTTGCCTACTCCAGTTAAAACTCAATGTGTGAAGGAGAGGTTCCGCAGGTCTTTCCTTCCTGCTGCTGTCAGACTGTACAACAAACAAGCGGACTAATGAAACTTGATCCCACGTGTCATGCATTGGTGCAATATCCTTAACTTATATCAGAATGTGCAATAACCACATGTCACTGTCACTTTACTGAGTCACTGTGTCTCAGAGCCTCATGCTGCTAATGCACAGATGTAAACATACTGCTGCTAATGTACAGATGTAAACATACTGCTGCTAATGTACAGATGTAAACATACTGCTGCTAATGTACAGATGTAAACATACTGCTGCTAATGCACAGATTTAAACATACTGCTGCTAATGCACAGATGTAAACATACTGCTGCTAATGTACAGATGTAAACATACTGCTGCTAATGCACAGATGTAAACATACTGCTGCTAATGTACAGATGTAAACATACTGCTGCTAATGCACCGATTTAAACATACTGCTGCTAATGCACAGATGTAAACATACTGCTGCTAATGTACAGATGTAAACATACTGCTGCTAATGCACAGATGTAAACATACTGCTGCTAATGTACAGATGTAAACATACTGCTGTTAATGTACAGATGTAAACTGTTGTCAAAAAAGATTTGACTGACGTGTTCAGAATTTGATACAAAAATAAGGCCAAGAATGCAGGAGTTAAAAATAGAACATTTAATTCTCTTTACAATTAAATATCGATACAAAACTCTTGGAGCCATTAATTCTCTAAAACTAACCCTATGCTGAGCCATTCTAAACTTTCCCTCCAGGCCTGAAAAATGTGCAGGGGACATCCAGGCGCTCTGCGATGTTCCCTGTCTAACTATCCCTGCTCAGACTGACTTAAAACATCCAGCAAAAGCATATAAGTAATAATGTGTAGAAGGGGCGTGTGCATCATCCAGTTCATGGACTCCGGACTTTGTCTGCTCTGGTCTTGGTCTGGTCTGACATCAATCTCCTTCTCCAAACAACTCTTATCTGGCTGGGGGAGCTCTGCATTCCTCACATGGTCTGGCCGACTCGACTAGACCCCACTAATATGAAATCACTGAAAATATAAACAACGTGTGCAGCATTTCTTGAGATGATGCATCATTCCCTCTCTTGACCTATCATAAATAGGTCACATCCAGTCCTCGTTCATCATCAATACTTGTGCTTAGTTCAGGCTCGATACCTGTGAAGACGTTAATACAGAGAGAATACAACACACAACCACATTTGAAACATTCCTTTACAAATCACATTACCGCTAACACATCAGGTATAATTATTTTAATTATTTAATAATGATGGTTTTCTTAAACCATGTCGTCTGTTTTTTCTATAAGATTCTGCATTAGTGTGTACGCCTAATTTATTACCAAACTGCTACTGTTCGTTAATAAACATGTTCCCAACAAAAATATAATATAAACAAATTCCTTCAATACTATTTGGTGACCACTGCTGATTCTTCATCAACCTCGTCTGCAATGTATGCACGAAAACTATTCACTATAGTTTAAAACTATTCTAATCTATTTACATTTTTTTAAACATACTGCTGCTAATGTACAGATGTAAACATACTGCTGCTAATGTACAGATGTAAACATACTGCTGCTAACATGTACAGATGTAAACATACTGCTGCTAACATGCACAGATGTAAACATACTGCTGCTAATGCACAGATGTAAACATACTGCTGCTAATGCACAGATGTAAACATACTGCTGCTAATGCACAGATGTAAACATACTGCTGCTAATGCACAGATGTAAACATACTGCTGCTAATGCACAGATGTAAACATACTGCTGCTAATGTACAGATGCAAACATACTGCTGCTAACATGTACAGATGTAAACATACTGCTGCTAACATGCACAGATGTAAACATACTGCTGCTAATGCACAGATGTAAACATACTGCTGCTAATGCACAGATGTAAACATACTGCTGCTAATGCACAGATGTAAACATACTGCTGCTAATGCACAGATGTAAACATACTGCTGCTAATGCACAAATGTAAACATACTGCTGCTAATGCACAGATGTAAACATACTGCTGCTAATGCACAAATGTAAACATACTGCTGCTAATGTACAGATGTAAACATACTGCTGCTAATGCACAGATGTAAACATACTGCTGCTAATGCACAGATGTAAACATACTGCTGCTAATGCACAGAATATAACATATAACTAGAATACACAGTACTTTATTTTTGCTTCTTATTTTGCCAATTGTAAAACCTCTTTTTTATTATTATTATTTTCAAGATGTAGTTTTTATACTTGTTATTGATGCTAAAGTTAGAGATTTTGTTTCATTTTAACTAGTATAGCTATTGTTCACTTATCTTGTGTGATGCAACACTGGAATTTCCCCACTGTGAGATATTGATTAGGCCCTGTTGAGACCGAGACGCTGCAATGCAATTAGCAAAAATGACCGGGCTCCTTATTCCTGTGCACAGTGTTTACACAACGATGGAAAACGATGTAGTTCTAGCGCTTGGCCAGTAGTGGGCAGTGGAACTTTACAACAAGATACATGCGACCCTCAGCAGTGTATTCACTTCCTCAACAGCAACCTTCTCAGGACGCCGCAATAACATGAAAAAATGCACCAACATCATTCTGCATTTAACAGTAGAATTATCTGTGCAAATTCTCAAAGCACAGGTAGCTAGTTACAATAGTAGCCCTTTTTGTTCTCAGCTACAGTGCATATGCCCAAATGTACGTGGGGGGAAGTGCTGAGGTCATCGCAGCAGAAAATTCACAACTTTTTTTTCACACGGCTGTCAACTCTGTTCTGTTCCACTCTGGAGGCTGTTTTATCAATTTTAGCGTTTTTACCTGAAATATGAATTTGTATAAACAAAAGGATCCAACACCAACTCGTTTTACTGTTCCAGCGTCCTCGTGTAAAGAGCACCTTAGACCAGTGATACTTTTGAACAGGCACTTTTCTCATCCTCACACTGTCCCTTTAAGTGCCTCCTGCAGATCTGGGAATGTGCCCCAACCTCGTACGCCTCATTTGGTATTTACTGACCCAGGGAGGAGTCTGAGCGGGGTTTGCTGCGTGTACTTTGTCTCTTTGTGTCATTCAGTGACAGAGGATGGCCGTGCGACTGTTTGAGGACCAGCAGCACGCGGCCGAATACCTCCAGCACCGAGTGAGGCCCGATGAGGTGGTGGCCCAGATCATGGGCCAGCTCCAGGAGAAGGTAAGAACATGGAGACTGGACTGACCAGGAGGAGCTGGAGTTCACACTCAAAGAGTCTCAGCAACTTTAAACAAGAGCTTTAACCAATCTGGTTTTTTAAAAGACCCATACCAATGTAAGGATTTAGCAGACAGAGACGGATCGTGGTGTGCCAAACTCTGGAAGTTTATTTAAGTTTCTCTCCAGTTCCACTGTTTTACTCTGTTTCTTTCTCTCAGACAGAATAAAGGCAGTACACAGTTTATATAGTCATTGTCACGTCACACATCGAAAGACATACGTGTCACAAAGAGACAGTCACATCATAGTCATAACATGGAGTCCTTGTAGAGTCCTTGTACAGTCCTGCACGTAGGCCATATTGCTATCTAATACTAATACCCTCCCCTTTGATCACATAATCACATGTGATCATTCAATTTGATCAATCAATAAAGTGGAAAAAGAAAAAAAAAAATTCCAAAAAAAACTTCAAAAAATTATTAAAAACAAAGAAAATGTATGCATTAAACTCATAATCATCAAATCAATATCAGTGGATTTTATCCTCTATCCTGGGAAAAAACAAACAAACAAAAACAAACAAAAACAAATCAAAAATAAAAAACAAACAAAAATAAAAACAAACAAACACTATTGGACACACAAGAACTCAGCAGATTCAGTCAAAACACAGACAAAAACGAGCTGAGTCTCAAATTTGAAGCTAATTTCACTTTTATTACTCTATACTTTTATTCCAATGATAATTGTTTACACTTCACTTATTTCACTGTATTATTTTCACTTTTTAATCTTAGACTGTGTACTTTACTTTTACTATTCACTATAGTTTAAAACTATTCTAATCTATTTACAAATATGTTTGCATATTTGCTTCTATTGAGCCATATTTTTAAACATACATTTTAATCTAACAAATCTCTCTGTTCTGTGGTTTACACTCTAATTATCAGTGGCATATTGTTAGTGGGATTTGGTTCTATCTCTCTTCTACATTCTCAGGAATAAAACTGTGAACACAGAAAGACAAATGGTTAATATAAACATTATTATGGCTGTCAGTTTTCCAAATACATTTGTTGAACCAGGAAGTGCTGTCACTTCCTCCTCTTAAGCAGATTGGGATGAATGTAAATCTTTAATCAAATTAGTATAATCCTTACAAGAGCTAATCTATTTTAGCAGGTTTGGGGTTGGGGTCAATGTTCTACAATGGTGTTTGTGCTGGAAACTTCTCAATATCTAAATATCTACTATTGTGTTTTTGGGCTATACACAAATACATCAAAATGCTTTTAAATGCTTTTGAATCTCTGTTGGTTCTAATCTATCTCATTGATCTAGGCTACACTCATTTTTTGACTCTAAAGCTCGGTTGCAGCTTGAGTCAAGGCATATTTCTAATTTGTGACTTCTGTCACTTTTAATGGCTGTAACATAACTCTGATTCTAATATTTTAGCTGCTCTATCAAAAGGATAACATTGTAGGGTACTATTTTAACTCTTATGTGGAAATGTGTTTATGAAAAACAAAGGAAGTCAAATTCTACTTTTTTACTACTATTTAACATCTACTAAAACGCTACAATACTCAAACTTTATCATTTTCAAACATTTTAACAGTTGCTCAGTCTCCCAGACAAAAAAGTCAAAGTTTTTGTCTGTCAGATGTCTGAATACTTAACATGTATATTGCATTTGTCACAGTTTCTGGTTGTAGCAATAGCATCGGCAATAGACGTTTCATTGGCTGGTTCTTGTTCTGCAAATGGCTGTGTCCAATAGATCATCAGATGTCCAGAAGCTAGGGACAAACAAAAACAAAAGAAAGAATCATGAGTATCTCTCTCATTTAGCACTCATCAATGTATGATTTCAAAAATATAAACATCACTCCCCAGTTTTCTCTCTCAGGTCCTCAGGTCCTCAGGGTCCCCTGAGGGTGAGTCTCAGTCGTCATCAGGTCAGGTCATCTTGGACATCAGTAGGGTCCAAGCCATGGTTCTGGTCACTCCAGATGCACATCAGATCTCCAGATACAGTCTTTTCACTTGAAGCACATCAGGTCATTTGCGATGCACTTCTGGTCAATGGTGCAGTGTCTCAGTTCCTGTACACAGCTTGTTATGCAGTAGTTACTCTCTATGGTTAAGTCATTTTGATTCTACTTTAAAGACAATTTCTATTCATGCTGTTGCTAATGTCCCTTAGACAAAAGCAAGCGCAGTTTACTTCTCTAATTTGTGTTTTTCTCAGATCTAATTCTAATCAATGTAATTACTTCACACAGTACAAAATCAACAAATCAAAAGTGTCAGGACAGAGGTCAATTAATCCATGACAATATAGAATTCAAATGAACATTTCTGGTCTCAAAAAATACTGATTCAACTAAAGATTCAAGTGATAGACAATTAAAAATATGTGTTTACATTGGAGTAAACTTTTAAAATGCTTTTTTCTCATGTTCTGCTTTTTCATGTATCTATATGTAAATGTGAATGTGTGAGTGTGTGAGTGTGTATGTGTGTGTGTGTGTGTGTATGAATTTTGGGGTTGTGTCTCAAGACTCCTCGAACCACCTGTAGGTCTCAAAGGTCACACTGTGGTGATGTAAACCACGTAGACACACTTTCAACTCCCTCTAGGTCTCTACCTGACGCTCCACCCATCACGTCTCCAGATACCTCTCTTTCATGGCCCCGGTCTCTCTCACACTCACTCAGTTCTGCAGTGGCGTGGGGAGGGGCAAGGAGGTGGCATTTCCCTTTGCTCTTTGATCTGTGACCTGTGGCTGGGTGGGCTTTGCGCTGTCCAGTGTCCAGAAGTCCAGTGACCCTGTACAGTGTGTGCTCTTGGTTCTGGAAAACAACCTTATAGTCAAATTAAAAACAACAGAGATTGTGAATGAGATTGTTTTTCTCTCTGAAGTCTAAACAATTTTGAAGCGCTCTTGGCTTTCCCAAGCGCTATGTAAATAAAAGATTACTTATTATCTTACTAATGATGACATTTAAAACCAGAAACTCTCAATATAAAAAAACAAGACTCAAATCTCTTAAACCTTCAAACTTTAAAATATGTATTATGTACTTTTGCACTGTGTGATTAATTATCTATGCATTTATCTCAGCATATATTTTACTAATTTAAAATAATTGCAGCATTTTTCAAATGAAGTCAGTATGAATTGGAGCACATTTTAGACCAGTCTCCTCTGCTGTGGCATCAGCAGGAGCAACAAGGTCAGGCGTGTAGTCAAAACAAAAACAAAAGTCACCCACTTGCATGTGAATTGGGTAGTTTAACTTAATAATATAATACTTTTACAGCCTAATTCCCTCTTTCTTTTTTAGACGAAGTCTACAATCATTAATCACTTTTAACAGATTCTAATTTAAATGTTTGAAAAACGGCTTTTGTAACTAAAATAAAAAATACATGAAAAAATTCTCACAAACAGCTATGAAATATATCAGAGATACAATAATGGACTCACAAAATAAGCAGCAGATTTAAAAAGAAAAGCAAAGCTTTTTGTACTAATCTTTGGGTTTCAAAAACATACTAATTCAAAACTTCTTCACTAATGGTGTTTAAAAACGTTTAACTGTGTCTAACACAATGTTCAAATGGCAAATTTAGCAAATTTAACGGAATAACAACTATGAAAAGCCAAATTCCTAAAGCAGTAGCTTTGCTTCAGATTCACAGCCAGAGCAGCGAAGGAGGGGGCCGTTTCCCTGACAACGGCAGCAGATAGAGCGACGCACACACACAGGCAAAAAGATACAGAAGAATAACTTTCAAGATTACTTTGTTAAGCGAATATAACTGATGTTGTTCTTTATACTTTTGTCATCCAAATCTAGAAGTGATCACTTTCCACACTAGTAACAAAAGGCACTCTTGTCTTTAACGTTTACGCTTCTATTTTATCGAGGTAGCAAACTAATTTAAACTTAAAATCTCTTTCTAAAAAACAAAAACAACTGTTGGATACAGCCCTCTCATAGCTCAACTGTAGATAAAACTCGGCAAAAAATGTAAATAACTCACGAAAGCTCTCATAGCTCAACTTTAGATAAAACTCTGCATTCTCCGGTGAACTCTGTTCACTCCAAAAACAAAAACTCCCTTTTTCTGTATGTAATTTAAACCGTGATCACTGAAATATTGTTGCTTCTTTACTTTTGTCATTTATCAGCCTGAAATTCGTCAATTTCAAAGCTTTTGTAACAAAGGCCTCCTTAACACGTTTCCCTTTTTATTGCTTTTATGTTTACACCATGGATTCACTAACTATTTTCTATTCTCTATTCTCTGCCCCGGCTACTCCAAAGGCAGGGACCCCGATACGTCAGGGGTTCCTTTTTCTCTCTGTCCTGACTACTTCAAAGGACAGGGACCCCGATACGTCAGGGGTTCCTTTCTCTCTGTCCTGACTACTTCAAAGGACAGGGACCCCGATACGTCAGGGGTTCCTTTTTCTCTCTGTCCTGACTACTTCAAAGGACAGGGACCCCGATACGTCAGGGGTTCCTTTTTCCTATAGGGACTGGTTACCCACACAGCTAACCTGTTTTCTACAACATAAGACATGACAAAGACGTGACAAAGACACAACAAAGAAAATTTGATTTAGAGAGATTTGGACAGACCTCCGGGACAGCTCAAAATTTAGCTAGTATCCAATTATGCAGACTTTACATATTAAAAAAGGTGTCTGCTTACCTTAATTCTTTGTCCGGACTGTTCGAGAGGTCGACCAACATCTTTTCCGCGTCGAAAAATTCAATTTAAACAACAAAAGTGACAGAAGCGACAAGAAGCATCCAGGAACAGCTCTTCCAGCCTGCTGGAATCTCCGCTCCCAGACACAGCATGCCGATCTCTCACGCAGAGGAAAAGAAACAGAGCAAGCTCCCTCAAAACAATCCAGAGAATGGCACACACCGAGCCGCGCATTCTCCACCAAATCTGTTAGGATTTAGCAGACAGAGACGGATCGTGGTGTGCCAAACTCTGGAAGTTTATTTAAGTTTCTCTCAAGTTCCACTGGTTTCCTCTGTTTCTTTCTCTCAGACAGAATAAAGGCAGTACATAGTTTATATAGTCATTGTCACGTCACACATCGAAAGACATACGTGTCACAAAGAGACAGTCACATCATAGTCATAACATGGAGTCCTTGTAGAGTCCTTGTAGAGTCCTGCACGTAGGCCATATTGCTATCTAATACTAACAGCGCATCATTGTTCCTTGTGTTGCAACAAAACTTTTCATTACAAACATGAAGCAGTCCTTCCTCATTGACTGATCCTCATTCTTAGTCCAGTCTTGTTATCGACTCTTTCTCGTTTTAGCTTTGGGATCCATGTGCACTTACAGTCTATGATGCACACACGCCGGTTTGTTTACAGCAACGGCTGAAGGGGGCGGGGCCGCGTGACCGCGCGTCATAGGATATGACGCACTACGTTGACAGAAATGTTGAAATTAGATATTACTTAGACATATTTTTACAGCATTTAAAAACGTAAAGATTGTTTTTTCTCCTACAGAAACCACATTCAAACTAGAAATAAAATATAGCCCTCACACTCCATTTTCAGACATTTTTGAAAAGGCTCCAGGAGCCACTCCAGGAGCACTCAAGAGCCGCATGCGGCTCCGGAGCCGCGGGTTGCCGACCCCTGGTCTAGAATGAGTCTGGTGTGTGTGTGTGTGTGTGTGTGTGTGTGAATGGTTGGTGGTGATCGGAGGGGCCGATGGCACAGACTGGTTGCCTTACTTCTGTCAGTGTGCCCCAGGGCAGCTGTGGCTACAGTAGTAGTATAACATGTGAAGCGTCTTTGAGTGTCTAAAAAAGCTCTACGTAAAAACCAATGCATTATTATTATTAAGTAAAAGTGCTTCGGGCCCTTTCCTCTTTGTCTTTCACATTTATTATTCTATTTACTCCATATTTGTTCCTGAACTAGCACAGGACTTTTTCATTGTTTGTATTATGATGTTTTATATTTATGTTGCCTAATCATAAAACCTAAAAGATCAGCATGGTGATGCAGTGGTTAGCGCTTTTGCTTCACAGTAAGAAAGTCAGGAAGGTTCTGGGCAGCTTCAGGCTTTTCTGCATGGAGTTTGCATGTTCTCTCCATGTATGTGTAGGTTTTCCCCACCACTAAATAAATGTGCAATAGTCCTTTATATCACCCTCCCTGACCCCACTCCTGCCCCCGCTCTCTGGGACCAGGACTACCCTAAAATATAGTTTCTGGAATTTCAGTGCAGTGGCACTTTCCTGTTTAAATAAAGGTCAATAATGAATAGATAAATAAGAAGCAGTGATACATTTTTGGGGGCGACAGTGGCTCAGTTGGTAGAGCCTTTGAACCTGAACGTTGTGGTTTCGAGCCCACCACAAGACCTTCTTTCCATCAACTCCCACTGATGTCTGCTGTCGTTGTGTCCTTGGGCAAAACACTTATACCCACTTTGCCTGAAGCCCCTGCTGAAAGATCAAGGCTGTGTTGTCACTGACAGAGCATCCTCCTGTGAACTCACCACCCGCAGGAGGATCAGAGAAGGGCTGGGGCTCTGTGAAAAGGGTGGCAGCTAATTGCCGCCCCATTTCTGGGTCGAGGGGGGTTCGCAAAGTCCTTGTTATGTCTATGTCTTGTGTTTTTACTTATCCTGCTTCCCCTTAAATGGATTAAGGGGTAGAAAGGGGATGGATGGATGATTCACTATATTTTCATAAACTCTGTCACAAATTGTTAATAATTTGTGTATTTTTGTCCTTGTTATTGTCTGTGTCTCATGTTTTTATAACCTTTACTTTTATACAATTTTTATGTTTGTATTTGGCTTTTAGCTCTGTTTGCTGATGGCTGTAACATCAACCTGCCCCAGGACTACAGAAGGAAACCAACCGTCATCGCTAAATCTGGCATATTTACACAGACACATGTTGATTAATGTGCTCTGTCCCATTCAAACAAACAATCAAATAAACAATCAAACAAACTGGCACTAGACATAAATGTGCAAAGTGCAACACAGCAATTTCAGAATGTCCACTGAATGTCATATGTCTACTTATTATCCTGCCCTATTTGTGTATAACTTTACACTATATATAGACAGATAGATATGTTGATGTGTTATTATTGAAGCATTTACAGCCAGCTAAGAAACATAATAGCCATTTATATTTTGTGTGCCCCTTGTATCCTTTGAGATTTCTCCACTGTGGGACAAATCAAAGTTCTTATCTTATCTTATCATATCTGAAAATAATAGATTTTTTTTTTTCCATCTTGTAACCCCATACATGCGATGTCCAGGCAGTGTCCGGCTGAGGATCTCCCCATGGACGGAGGCTCGGTGGACTTGCTGACCTCCATGACGGCGGCGCACTGGTTCGACCGGCCGCGGTTTCTGCTGGAGGTGGACCGCGTGCTGAAGCCTGGGGGGTGTGTGGCCCTGCTCTCTTACGGCATGGACATGGAGCTGGAGCATGGAGACGTATTGGAGGACTCAATAACAATTTAGTCTTGTGTAGTCCTAAAGTACAGCAGAAGTTATCTCGGGGGTCTTTACCAAACCGTAGAATTCGCCAACACAGATCAGAGAATCAAGCGTTTCCAACACAAGAAATGCAATGATGAATAATTAAAAACACATACAGCCATTGGTCCGTAGGGGGCAGATGACCAATGTTCATGATTGTTGATAAAAGTTCTTAAAGGACAACTAAACAACAAATCTGAGCGTACAACTGTTGATAAATGCTGCGGTGAAAACTAGCCTAGAAATATTCATAAAACGCCCAATTTTTACGACAGGTCAGGAAGGCCTGTTAGTGACACGCACTGAGTTTATATTGAGTTTTATTGTATTATTTTGTCAAAAAAACCAAAAAGAAAACCCCGCTATATTATATATTTTCCCTTGTGTCTAGACCCACTGCAGCGCTCATCTCTTTAGAAATGAATGAATGTTAATATCTCAGCGGTGACTCTCATCTGGGTCAAGCGTCAGTGACATCTTCTTGTGAATGCAATGGAGCGATGAGAGAGAAAGGATGCGTATGAGTCACGGTGCAGAGCCCGTTCCCACAAAAAAGCGCTTTTTCTGGTCCTCCAGGCAACGCTCCCTTTTTAGAGAACAATTTCAAATGTTAATGTGGGGGGAGTAAGGCTGGGCACAGGTGTTTAGTCGCTCTTTAAAGGAGCAGTATGTAAAAATCTGGCCAAAAGCGGTACTGCAGCCTCTCTTTCTCCCTGACTCAGGTTGCCAGATATGCAGACGAATCCAGCTGGGACCATAATAGCTGTATAGGCAAGAGTTTTGTCAACAACAAATCTATAACCAACACTTTTTCACAAAGGTCCTGATGGAAATCCTTGTTTATTTCTTTGTAATTAATGATTTTGAGAATCCTAACAAGACCTTTTTTAGTTCTGCAGTCCCATGTTACTTTATCAGTGAGATTAGCTTGATGCGGTGAGTTCTGGCAACCTGGATCACAGACTTTCTGATTGGTAAAACGGTGGAGGGTGAGACATCAAAATGAGATTTAGGGGCTGGAAAACTAATTTTGAAATTCCAATATTTTGGCTGAACTACTGATATCAGTTAAATAAGTATTTGAAAAGAGAATGGTTTATGAATCCCTTTTGACAGATTAGGGCCTGTTAATGATGACTTGACATGAAAATCTTACATATTGCTACTTTAAATGTTGTTGAAAGTCGAGTGTCCTGGATCCTCACCAGGACTCACGGCCTAGGCTAACGCGCAAAACAGAGAGGTCACAGAGACAATCACAGCACTTATAGGAGACAATGGCTGGAATTAAAACAAATCATATATTGAGCAAAAGACACAAGAAAACAACGTCACAGTCTGATTGAATGTCAGAAGCATTTTGTACTTTTTGCCTCTATGTAACTAATATCGGGAACTTATGTCACAAACATGTAGCTCCGCCCCTTCTGTCTAAAGGCTCCTGTCTCGGTTTTGATGTCATTGTACCACTATGACATCACATCCAGAGCAGTTTAAAACCAAATATAACATAAATAATGTTTGAAATGGGCTTTTTTTTTTAAACTCAGGGTCGCTTACATTATAATATTTTTTGATGTATTTTTCCTTTCAGTTTTTCACCGCTTTGATCCCGTTCCGAAACCCTCACCTCGGCACCAGCTCCATACAGATCTACAAAGACATGTACGCCCTCTGCTCCTACCCGGAAAAACTATGGTGAGCTTGGTTTAGCTTTAGCTTTACTCCTGTTATGTTTTGTGAATTGTCAAACCCTGTGTCTTCTTAAGTTCTTCTCCCTTTCAGTGGCGACGGTAGCTCAGTTGGTAGAGCATCCCTTGGTGGGTTCGAGCCCACCACGGCAAGACACTTAACCTCTGCCACAGTGGGGTGGCTCCGGCTGTAGTGCTTCTGTCAGTGTGCCCCAGGGCAGCTGTGGCCACAGTAGTAGTTTATCACAACCGTGCATGGAGTGAATGAATAATGACATGCAAAGCGTCTTTGAGTGTCCAAAAAAGCGCTATATAAAACCGATGCATTATTATTATTGTGTAATGACCTGCTCTGCCCGCATGTGTATCATTTCTGTCTGTTTAAACCATAGACTGTAAATATGAACGGACGTAGTTACGCCTATCTCCGCCTTTTGTAACAAATGTGCCACAACTTCCGCAGTCTATGGGCAGTTTCAAAATGGCTGCGGGGGCTGGAAAATGTGAAAAAAACCATAAACAGAGTCACGCCTATATCCGCCGTTCTAACTATCCATCCATCCATCCATTTTCTTCCGCTTTATCCGTTGCCGGGTCGCGGGGGCAGCAGTCTAAGCAGAGACGCCCAGACTTCCCTATCCACACACACTTCCTCCAGCTCGTCCGGGGGGACCCCAAGGCGTTCCCAGGCCAGCTGAGAGACATAGTCCCTCCAGCGTGTCCTAGGTCTTCCGCGGGGCCTCCTCCCGGTGGGACGTGCCCGGAACACCTCCCCAGGGAGGCGTCCAGGAGGCATCCGGAACAGATGCCCGAGCCACCTCAACTGGTTCCTCTCGACGTGGAGAAGCAGCGGCTCTACTCCGAGCTCCTCCCGTGTGACTGAGCTCCTCACCCTATCTCTAAGGGAGCGCCCAGCCACTCTGCGGAGGAAGCTTATTTCGACCGCTTGTATCCGCGATCTCGTTCTTTCGGTCATTACCCAAAGCTCATGACCATAGGTGAGGGAGGGAACGAAGATTGACCGGTAAATCGAGAGCTTTGCCTTTCAGCTCAGCTCCCTCTTCACCACAACGGTCCGATACAGCGACCGCATAACTGCGCACGCTGCACCGATCCGCCTGTCAATCTCACGCTCCATTCTTCCCTCACTCGTGAACAAGACCCCGAGATACTTGAACTCCTCCACTTGAGGAAGGACCTCTCCACCCACCTGCAGAGGGCAAGTCACCTTTTTCCGGTCGAGCACCATGGCCTCGGATTTGGAGGTGCTGATTCTCATCCCAGCCGCTTCACACTCGGCTGCAAACCGCCCCAGTGCATGCTGCAGGTCCTGGTTCGTTGGAGCCAACAGGACAACATCGTCCGCAAACAGCAGAGATGAAATCCTGTGGTCTCCGAACCGGACCCCCTCCGACCCCTGGCTGCGCCTAGATATTCTGTCCATAAATACAGTGAACAGAACCGGTGACAAAGGGCAGCCCTGTCGGAGGCCAACATTCACCGGGAACAGGTCTGACTTACTGCCGGCAATGCGAACACAGCTCTGGCTCCGGTCATACAGGGATCGGATGGCCCTCAGCAGAGGACCTCCGACCCCGTACTCCCGGAGAACCCCCCAAAGGACACCCCGGGGAACACAGTCGAACGCCTTCTCCAAATCCACAAAGCACATGTGGACAGGTTGGGCGAACTCCCATGAACCCTCGAGTATCCGATGGAGAGTATAGAGCTGGTCCAGTGTTCCGCGACCGGGACGAAAACCACACTGCTCCTCCTGGATCCGAGATTCGACCATCGGCCGTAACCTCCTCTCCAGTACCTTGGAGTAGACCTTACCGGGGAGGCTGAGGAGTGTGATCCCACAATAATTGGAACACACCCTCCGGTCCCCCTTCTTGTAGAGAGGGACCACCACCCCGGTCTGCCACTCCATTGGCACTGCCCCCGATCGCCACGCGATGTTGCAGAGACGTGTCAGCCAAGACAGTCCTACAACATCCAGAGACTTTAGATAGTCAGGGCGGATCTCATCCACACCCGGAGCCTTGCCACCATGGAGGCTACCAACCACCTTGGTGACCTCAGCCAGGGAGATGGATGTACCCGCCCCAACATCCTCAGCCTCTGCCTCTGTAACGGAGGACGTGACGGGGGGATTGAGGAGAACCTCAAAGTATTCCTTCCACCGCCCGACAATATCCCCAGTCGAGGTCAGCAGCTCTCCACACGCACCGTACATGGTGTTGGCAAAGAACTGCTTCCCCCTCCTGAGGCGTCGGATGGTTTGCCAAAATCTCTTCGAGGCCGACCGATAGTCATGCTCCATGGACTCTCCGAACTCCTCCCAGTCCCGGGTTTTTGCCTCTGCAACAGCCCGGGCCGCGGCACGCTTGGCCTGCCGGTACTGGACAGCTGCCTCAGGAGTCCCCCGAACCATCATGGCTCGATAGAACTCCTTCTTCAGCCTGACAGCATCCCTTACTGCCGGTGTCCACCACCGGGTTCGGGGGTTGCCGCCGGGACCAGCACCAGAGACCTTGCGACCACAGCTACGAGCCGCCGCATCGGCGATTGAGGCAGAGAACATGGTCCACTCGGACTCCATGTCCCCCTCCTCCGCCGGGACCTGGGAGAAACTCTCCCGGAGGTGTGAGTTGAAAGTCCGTCTGACAGGGGGCTCAGCGAGACGTTCCCAGCAGACCCTCACTATACGCTTGGGTCTGCCAGGTCTGACCGGCTTCTTCCCCTGCCAGCGGATCCAACTCACGACCAGGTGATGATCGGTTGACAGCTCCGCCCCTCTCTTTACCCGAGTGTCCGAGACACGCGGTCGAAGGTCAGATGATACGACAACAAAGTCGATCATCGACCTCCGGCCTAGGGTGTCCTGGTGCCACGTGCACTGGTGGACACCCTTGTGCTCGAACATGGTGTTCGTGATGGACAAACCGCGACTGGCACAGAAGTCCAACAACTGAACACCGCCGTTCTAACTAATGGACCAAAAATAGTGCTCTACTGGAGCTATCCAAAATGGCTGCGAGTGGTCCCGCCCACAAGAAAATTGTGAAAAAACGCATCTGCACATGCGTCAGCTATATGCTATAGCTATATGCTATATGTTAGCATTGGCTAATTCTTCTTCTGGGTCCACCCCCATCGGCCCGGGGTGGTATTGCAAGCATGTCAGCGCACGTCATTTTGACCACTTTTGAGCTGGGACCCGCCCCCACTGGTTTAAGATAAGATAAGCTAAGATGTGCTTTATTTATCTCACATAGGAGAAATTTAATGGTTTAAACTATGTGTGCTTTTTGTATTTTTAGTATGGATTCTCTTTGTTTTTCCTTTAATTTTTTTTTTTTATTATTTCAAACATACATGAGATATATAAACATGTATTCACACAAAAGCCTAAAAAATAAGTAAAAAATTGCTCAAATTTGCCAAAATGTATTGTAATTTGAGCACATTTTGACTGCCTTAAAGGACAACTCACCCTCAAATCCACTTTTTTTTGCTGATAAATGGTATAAATGAGTGTCCAATAGTGTTGTGTACATACTGTATCCTGGTCATAATTTTGTCACTTTGGTGCAAATTAGTTGAAAGATCAACTTTCTGGCTAAAACCGTCAGTGAGGCGCCATCTGCAGGCGACATGTATTACTACATTTGAATTTTGAATCTGGCGCCAACACTGGCGCAGCAGTGGCCGCTTTCGTCTGCAGTGGCTCCTTACGTCAGTTGCTCTGCCGCTCTGAGGTTTATAAACGGCCCAGTCTCGTTCACGCCCCCGTTGCGAGTTTGATAAGGAATAGCAGCGAGACAATCAATGAAATAAAAATCTCCCTAAATGCTATAACTAATCTGCAGTTCATCCAGAGCGATCATGGGCCTCTTGGCTGCATCTCTGATCAGTCTTCTCCTTGTTTGAGATGAAAGTTTGGAGGGACGGCCGGGTCTTGGTAGATTTGCAGTGGTCTGATACTCCTTCCATTTCAATATAATTGCTTGCACAGTGCTCCTTGAGATGTTTAAAGCTTGGGAAATCTTTTTGTATCCAAATCTGGCTTTAAACTTCTCCACAACAGTATCTCGGACCTGCCTGGTGTGTTCCTTTGTCTTCATGGTTCTCTCTGCGCTTTAAACAGAACCCTGAGACTATCAAAGAGCAGGTGCATTTATACGGAGACTTGATTACGCACAGGTCCATTCTATTTATCAGTCATTTAGGACAACATTGGATCATTCAAAGATCCTCACTGAACTTCTGGAGTGAGTTTGCTGCACTGAAAGTAAAGGGGCCGAATAATATTGCACGCCCCACTTTTCAGTTTTTTATTTTTTTTAAAAGTTTAAATTATCCAATACATTTCGTTCCACTTCACGATTGTGTCCCACTTGTTGTTGATTCATGACAAAAAATTTAAATGTTATATCTTTATGTTTGAAGCTTGAAATGTGGCAAAATGTTGAAAGGTTCAAGGGGGCCGAATACTTTCGCAAGGCACTGTATATATATAACCCATGTGGCATTTTGGGTTCTTTGCCTCCTGAGATTGGGCTACTCTTGTACAGTTATTCCAAGGTGGTTTTACTGAAAACGACAAATAACCTGAATCTGAGTCATTTCTAAACCTCCATTTGCTTACGTTGTCCTTCACAACACATGGGTTAATGTTCCACTTGCCCCTCTCCCTTGCCCCCTCCCCCACGTCCAGGTACGAAGGTTTGCAGGTGCGCAGGGACATCACGGTGAGCGGGTTCATCGGCCTGGTGCAGACCTTTACCGCCTTTCGCAAATATCTAGAGACCGACCCACGAGAGGCCGAGGAACTGTGCAGGCGTATACGCAACAAGTACGTCATCAGTTTGCAATTTATTATTCTCATATTTAGAACTTTTCATGTCTCACGATTGAAGTAATAAACAAAACATATTTAAACAAAATCACATTTTTTATGCATTATTCTTTCATTTAAAACAAATGTTAAGCAGTTGTTTTTAGTTCCATCCATGTTATCTCTGGAACTCCTGGGACAAACACACCCACCCCCTGTTGTCAAACTAGTGATGCTCGGACAAATCCTCAGACTATGGCGTCATGCAGAGAGATATTTTCTGCTTTTTAAAACAAATTCTGCGTCTGAGTGAGGGTGAATGGGGGTGACTGAGAGTTAGGGGGCACAACACTATTTTTGCTACTACTACTGAATTATTATTTTCATTTTTATCTATGTTATATTCAGTGTGAAGCAGTATAAATTGAATGGGAGAAAGAAAAAGCCATCATTAACAGTACTATATCAATGTCACCTGCACCTTAAAGCTGGGGTACCTAATTTAAAATCAAGCTATAAGATAAGATAAGACTTTATTGATCTCACACAGGAGAAATTTACATGTCACATTTGGCATGGATAGAATCACTCAGATTTGTGCAAAAAGACAGAAGTGTGCAACATGTTGAAGGTTAAAAAAACATATACTTCTTTTCCTTTATCTTTCGTATCTGAAAAAAATTATCTAAAGATGTCGGCCGAAAAAAACTGTTTCAGAACTAGTGACTTTAAAATTTCATATCACAATCTCAAATGAAAAGTAAACACAGTCCTGGAGTACTTTTCCCAACCACATGGGGTCGCCCTTTGTAAACATTCAAATGCCCTTTTCACTTGCAGGCTACTGGACGCCCTGCAGGTGTCCATCCCCGACGCTGACGTCACCATGGTTACCAAGTACTTCTACTGGATTGCACGAAAACCCCAAGAGGATAAGGATAATTCATAAATGTTGCTGTTACATCTCGTTTTCAGGTTTTTTTTTGCATTTAGTTTTTGACCTGATATTAAAATAAAAACTTAGCCATTTATTGCCCTCTTTATAATGTGTGTGGATAATTATGAATAGAATGGTAGTCTTGATATAAACAAATGCTAGAATAAATTGACTGTTTTAGCACACAAATGTAGCAGTAATAGTGGTTTTAATATTTTATAAAATTTTTGAAACTATGGCTAAATCTGAATTCATCATTGTGTCTGTATAAAGGAGCTGGTGATTTTCCACTTGATGTTTTGCTTGATGTCTGAAGGCCGACTCAGTGTCTGTTTTGTCTTGTATAAAGCCCTGTGCGTTCTGTAAAACTTTGGACTTGTCGATTTAACATAAATAAAAAATGTCATCTGCTGTACGCGAGACTCAAGACCCAAGACTCAAGATAATGTACTTAAATTATGGAGTAATATACATAGTAACATTTAGGTAACAAATTAGTTTCCGGGTGATAGTTTCCATGAGTTTCTCCACATCAAAAGCGTCAGTGTCTGATGAGGACTCGCTCTACAGTTTGACAGTGTTCTAGACCAGTGCTGTGCCCCCTCCCCCACAGCAGCTGAAAGAACACTTGATCCAAAGTGTTCAAAGTTATGATCATTTCCTAGTCGTGGTGTCCTGAAACAAATTGACTTGTAGATTAATTTAGTAATCTTGTTTTTTTTGTTAAATTCAAATCATTCCCTGTTTTAATTGTTTTGACATTTTGTCTTAAAGGTGCAGCATGCGATTTTGTTAGCTTAGCCGTAGCACGATCTCTAAACAACCCCCCCTCTCCTCGCCTCTCCACCACACCAAACATCCAGCATTTTCTTTTCTTTGTCACAACAAGGAGAGTGGATGGCAAACGTGAAATTGGCCTTTTCTGTTCAGTCATTTTAGGTTTTAGAAAATCCGATAACTCAGGTGCACTCGAGAGAAACAGGAAGAGGGAAGAGAACATATTCACATGTTCTATTAAAGTTTCATCCTGAGGAGCGGGCCCTTTCCGTGTGATTTGTGCTAAATCCACCATCTTCGTTACCCAGGTAACACTTGCAAAACAGAATCTGTGTTACGTTAATATAACATGAATTATTCTCAACAATTAAACCGCTAACAACTATGCTAACAAGCTAACAGGTTAATAAGTCCACTCTCACATTGTTACACCGAAACATTATATTGAATATTTTAATATACTATAGAAATACATACAAAGGTTTATATACACATTTTAACAAGTACTTTAGCACTGATAATAGTATGTATGCAAGCAGGAGAAAAAGAATCAAAGCTGGGGTACTAAACTTTTTAGATTCAGAAAATATGTTATTGTTTGCATCTTACCAGTAAGGAAGAGCAAGTACGACAAACAAAATAAAAAGTTGTATAAATTGATTGAAAGAAAGAAAAAGCCACCATTAACAGAATTATATCAAGGACTGTGATGTCACCTGTTACTTAAAGCTGGGGTACATAATTTAAAATGAAGCTATACATGTTGTTTGTCCCAACAGAAAGAGTGTAGTAAAAGTAAAATGTGGTCAACTTTTTGATGAACTCTTTGATATAATTTGGACTGAGAGCTGATTGGCTGAGTGAAGGTGCTCCTTTCCTTTTCTCTTTCCTGTCTGAAAAAGCTGATCAAAAGATGTGCCAAAAATACATTATGTGAAAAAATACTGACACTTTAAGCCGAGAACTAACGACTGAGAGGCGAAAACTAGTGTTAGACGCAAACTGTTTTGAGACGGACGAACTTGTGACATGGATTTCACATCTTTCTGTGAAAGGCATGGTACCCCAGCTTTAACAAGAGACAATAATATATTTGATTTTTGTATTTACAATTAATAGGGTAATTTACACTGCACAAGTTGCCTTTGCCTTCTATACTTGCCACAAAAATGCCACAAAAATCGGAGAATGACATTAGATTAGACAATTTCACTTCTATTCCACCACACTGGGCAAAACTCTGCGTCGCATCTACACATAAACCCAATCTCTGCGGTCCGGTCCCGCTCCGGTCCCGCTCCGGTCCTGTCACAGAACTCCCTGGGTGCGCTGGCTCCTCCACACCACCAGGGCAGTCATGAGCAGCGTGACCAGCACCGGGATCCCGATGAAGGGCGCCAGCACGTGGACGGGCGGCTCGTGCAGTAAGCGGCCCGTCTGTGCGCAGTCGTGGAAGTAAACGCGGTGCACGTCGCCGAAAAAAGCGTCCACTACGGCGTTCGGCCAGAAGCAGCCCACGTGCAGCGCGACCTGGAAAGTGCAGTTAGTCACGTCCTCGTAGATCCTGCAACACAAGAGTCATAGTCTGAGGAAGTGTCAGAGAGGTACAAGTTTGAAAATGTATCGTTAGGGAGCGATTTTCCAAACTAACAATTTCCATACATAGCCACAGCTGCGTCCTGAGTCTTCATATACAACGCCTTTTCCTCATCTGATGTTCTGTTCTTTGTCACAACGGCGCGACTGGCAAACGTAAAATTGGCACTTCGGGGGTTTTCGGTTCAACCATAGCAGGTGTTTTGGAAAATCCGACTCAAAAACGACTCTGACAGGTGCACTGACGAAATGCAGGATGGGAGAGGGAGGATGGACGCATTCTATTGGTTACTTTCTGTCGGTCAGCTCCAAAATATTTATGATCTATTTTTTGGGCGGCACGGTGGCTGAGTGGACAGCACTCTCGTTTCTCGGCAAGAAGGTCCTGGGTTCGAATCCTGGTCGGAACAGGGCCTTTCTGAGTGGATTTTGTATGTTCTCCCTGTGTCTGCACAGGTTTTGATGCGCCAGTGTGTTCAACGACTCGTTTCCGTCATCACCGTGTGTGGAATGATTGGAACAATATCTCTGAACATTGTGAAGTACTTTGGGTGACCTTGGTCTGTAAAATGCGCTATATAAATAACCATTACCTACTTTTTTTGAGGTTACAGGCCACTGGTCATGTCCAATCCTAATCGAAATCACATGATAACTTGTCTACTTTTGGGGTTTAGGGACGTTTCCACACAGTATTTAAAAACTTGCATCTGGATAAATCATTGACTGCATCTTTAATGTAACGTGGGAACACTCCTTTTCTTCACATGCTAAAGATCCCGCTCTGAGATTTGTTTGTGCTCGTGTGAGTTGTCCTCGCGCTCTGGAGATTCCTACCGCTCGGAAAATACTCACAGGAGCGTCTAGAGTTACTGCAGGCTTTACGCCGCTAAATATAACGGATGAAGCTAACCCACATAGCAGCGTGGTCCTACGAGTGGGGCTTCCATTGTGTTCTGGGTGATGCAGTCGCCAACAGTCGAAGTTTAAGAACACTTTAAAACACTAATTTTCAGAAAACAATGATAATACATGATTGAATTGAGGAGTTTGAATCTATATCAAGATTTAAGGACATTTTCTCTGATTTGAAATTAATACCCCAATGCAATAGATATGTCTTTTTACTGAGTAACATCAAAAAGACAAGCACTTTATCAGTCAGAATGAGACTGTGTTTAAGTACTCTTTGCCGGTCGGAAATCAAAAGGGACAGAGATGGGAGCTGGTCTTCATGATTTGTTGATTTGCGACCACTAAAATTGCAATTGGCCATCCACAAATGAATCAATCGGTCTGTCTGCTGCATTATCTGCACGGGGTCCACTCCAAGCCCACCATCACAACCATTCAATCCACTCAAATGTCACCTTTTTTTTATCTCAGCTTCCCCATTACACTCAAAATGTTAACACAGCTCACAATCAAAAGCCTCTTTGTCGAGCTGCACTGCGTTTCCACTAAAAACAAACGTCATGAAGCCTGTTCTAATCCTCAGTCAGTTAACACTAGCAAACCCATGGAGGTGCCATTTGGCACTTCTACCTAAAAAGCCCACCACGGTGCCAAATGACTCCAAGGATTTTAGCTAACAAACTAAATCACCTGTGAACGGCCAACTTTGTTATGTAAATAAGGCCATTATCACAGGCTGAGCTGAAGTTGCTCAACCACTTTACTTTGTCTTCTTCGGGAGAGGGAGGATCTGAGTTAAAATGAGTTAAATCTAGTGTCATGCTGACTTTAGTTAAAAAATAATAATGAAAATAATAAAGTGAATTGAAAGAAAACAAACGAGCAACGTCATTCAATGTATACATTTACATTGTTTACAAAATAAATATGCTACTTACAGTTTTTCTCAGTGTCTTTGGTGCATTTATCACATAATTATTCACATTTGCACGACAGTTAGTGCATTTATCAGAACAATTAGTACAAACTGCAAAACCTTGGGGATAACCTGCAAAAGTGCATCACCTTCTCAAAATTAAAAGTTTATTCCTCAAAAGCAAGTCTTCATGTCGAGGAAACTGTCTGTCTCAAAATAATAAGTCTTAACAACATGGAGTATGAACAACACAGTCAAATGACTTCGTCACGTTTTCATTGTGACACTTTACTCTCTGTGTTTTCAAAGCAAAAAATCTGATCTTGATGAGCACTGTACAGCTGAAAACTACAGTAAAGTTACACACAACTGTATTTAGTGAGAGTAAAAGAACATTTATACTGTATGTACTGTATGTGTGTGTGTGTTTGTGCATGTATGTATTTACTGTGTGTGTGTGTGTTTGTGCATGTATGTGTTTCGATGTATGTCTGTGTACTGTATGTCTTTCACATATTTACTGCATATGCTCTTTGCAATTCTACAGCATTGTGCAACAGAAATACAGTCACATACATAGAGCAAACATACAGAATATCATTATGGTAGAACTGTGACAAATGTAAACAATAAAACACACACCTCGTCATGAGTGAAGCTGAAATTCAAAATTAGGAAAGATTTTCTGGATATAAAAAGATAAAGTAATGTATGAAATTAGTTTGACAGATTTTGGTTTTGAACAGTTTTGTATGTGATGACCAAAGCGATGAAATGAGGACTACTGGTTTTACAGAAACTATTCAGTCGTGAAAAGTATGTTTCATTCTGATTGACAGGACAGAAGCAAATGATAATGTTATAAAACAGCAGAGAACTGTATGAAAGTAACTGATACATGTCCAAAAGCATTTGTAAAGTGTTCAAAGGAGAAACTGCCGCGATGATGTCACACACGACTCAATGTTGTGGAGGTTCTACCGTAATGATTTTTTGTATGTTTTTCTACGTAAATACTGTATGTGTACTATTTTTGTTGCAGAATTGTTAGGATTTAAGCAGACAGAGACGGATCGTGGTGTGCCAAACTCTGGAAGTTTATTTAAGTTTCTCTCAAGTTCCACTGGTTTACTCTGTTTCTTTCCCTCAGACAGAATAAAGGCAGTACACAGTTTATATAGTCATTGTCACGTCACACATCGAAAGACATACGTGTCACAAAGAGACAGTCAAATCATAGTCATAACATAGAGTCCTTGTAGAGTCCTTGTACAGTCCTGCACGTAGGCCATATTGCTATCTAATACTAATACCCTCCCCTTTGATCACATAATCACATGTGATCATTCAATTTGATCAATCAATAAAGTGGAAAAAGAAGAAAAAAAATTCCTAAAAAAAAAACTTTAAAAAATTATTAAAAACAAAGAAAATGTATGCATTAAACTCATAATCATCAAATCAATATCAGTGGATTTTATCCTCTATCCTGGGAAAAAATAAAACAAACAAAAAACAAATCAAAAATAAAGTAAACAAAAATACTATTGGACACACAAGAACTCTGCAGATTCAGTCAAAACACAGACAAAAACGAGCTGAGTCTCAAATTTGAAGCTAATTTCACTTTTCTTACTCTATACTTTTATTCTAATACTAATTGTTTACACTTCACTTCACTTATTTCACTGTATTATTTTCACTTTAATCTTAGACTGTGTACTTTACTTTCACTATTCACTATAGTTTAAAACTATTCTAATCTATTTACAAATATGTTTGCATATTTGCTTCTATTGAGCCATATTCTTAAACATACATTTTAATCTAACAAATCTCTCTGTGGTTTACTTTCATTATCAGTGGCTTATTATCAGTGGGATTTTGCTCCATGTCTATTCTCATTCTCAGGAATAAAACTGTGAACACAGTAAGGCAAACGGTCAACATTTACACTTCTATAGTGGTCAGTGATTTATTACTTTTTATTATCTAAAGATATTATTGTCAGGCAGTTTGGGATGAATGAACATCAGAGACGTGAGCAGAGAGAGACGTGAGCAGAGAGAGAGAGACGTGAGCAGAGAGAGAGAGAGAGACGCGAGCAGAGAGAGAGAGAGAGAGGTGAGCAGAGAGAGAGACGCGAGCAGAGAGAGACTTGAGCAGAGAGAGAGAGACGTGAGCAGAGAGAGAGAGAGAGAGAGGTGAGCAGAGAGAGACGTGAGCAGAGAGAGAGAGACGCGAGCAGAGAGAGAGAGACGCGAGCAGAGAGAGAGAGAGACGTGAGCAGAGAGAGAGAGACGCGAGCAGAGAGAGAGAGAGAGGTGAGCAGAGAGAGAGAGACGCGAGCAGAGAGAGAGAGCAGAGAGAGAGAGACGCGAGCAGAGAGAGAGAGAGACGTGAGCAGAGAGAGAGAGACGTGAGCAGAGAGAGAGAGACGTGAGCAGAGAGAGAGAGAGAGAGGTGAGCAGAGAGAGACGTGAGCAGAGAGAGAGAGACGCGAGCAGAGAGAGAGAGAGCAGAGAGAGAGAGACGCAGCAGAGAGAGAGAGAGACGTGAGCAGAGAGAGAGAGACGCGAGCAGAGAGAGAGAGAGAGAGGTGAGCAGAGAGAGAGAGACGCGAGCAGAGAGAGAGAGCAGAGAGAGAGAGACGCGAGCAGAGAGAGAGAGCAGAGAGAGACGTGAGCAGAGAGAGAGAGACGTGAGCAGATAGAGAGGAGACGTGAGCAGAGAGAGAGAGCAGAGAGAGACGTGAGCAGAGAGAGAGAGACGTGAGCAGAGAGAGACGTGAGCAGAGAGAGAGAGACGTGAGCAGAGAGAGAGAGACGCGAGCAAGAGAGAGAGAGAGAGAGGTGAGCAGAGAGAGAGACGCGAGCAGAGAGAGAGAGACGCGAGCAGAGAGAGAGAGCAGAGAGAGAGAGAGAGACGCGAGCAGAGAGAGAGAGAGACGTGAGCAGAGAGAGAGAGACGCGAGCAGAGAGAGAGAGCAGAGAGAGACGTGAGCAGAGAGAGAGAGACGTGAGCAGAGAGAGAGAGACGTGAGCAGAGAGAGAGAGCAGGAGAGAGACGTGAGCAGAGAGAGAGAGACGTGAGCAGAGAGAGACGTGAGCAGAGAGAGAGAGAGACGTGAGCAGAGA